GGGGGGGGGTCAAAAAGGTCAAGATGGTAGCTACATATATGCAATCGAAGCCTACCCATTTTTTATGTCCATCTAATGCTAGTGGTTAAGTAGACCATTAGATCAAACAAGCTCAAATCTAGTAGCTTTGCATGTGAACCATTGTAATCTGGAAATGATGGTTAAATTAGATTCATATTATTGTTATTATCACATTTTTTTATAATTTTAGATACTACTTTATAACTTAGATTGCTCCTTTGGGTCTTCACTCATGGATTCTAGTCAGGTTATTTTATAGATGTATTTTAATTTTGTCTTAAATTTTATTTACTGTCTCTTGAGATAGATTTATAAATATTCACTGAGCACTCATGGATACATTGCTTGTACTGGTCTAAGACTGTAATAAACTGACTGACTGATATTATTGCCAAGTTTGAATTCACATATCATAAATGAGACTGTGTACATACCTGTAGAGAGATTCTTTCAACCAGGACTGTGTGCATATGTTTTCTGAATTGTGCCAAGTATCACACGAACCCACACAATGAAAAACGTTCCTTGTTTCATTTCTCATCCCACAACCCATTTTTCCTTAACCTGGTCTACCTGAATTATGAGGGGTTCCAGCAACTTCTCCACGGTACGTGTCTGAATCTGTAGATTCTGAGGATCAATTTTCATTTTCATGTAAGGATCTGCTGCTGCCATTTTACCTGTCAGGTAAAAGATAGTTTATTTTATAGTAGTATGTGCAATCTGGGCTAGGTGCAATTTTCACAGAGCTAAATTTATCAGCTTCCTCTGAAATCTGAAGAAGGCTACAACCGTAAAAAACAACCACCGTTGATGTTTGTGAACCACCAATGCAGTTGCTCCTGCACAGGAGGATAAAAGACTAATTCCATCCCCATCCAGATGGGAGTTAAAAAAAAAAAAACTATTCTAGGGCTACTGTATTAACTCGGGCAATCAAAACAATGAATGATTAGTAGCCATTCCATATAGATCAGTGTTTTTCAAACTTGACAACTTTAAGAAGTGTGGACTTCAACTCCCAGAATGCCTCAGCCAGCTTTCCCCAGAATTCCACACCTCTTAAAGTTGCCAAGTTGGAAAAACACTGCTATAAATCAATGTTTGTTCTAAGATTGCTCTCAAGTTTTTCTTTTAAATAGCTGTCAAAATATAACTTTCGTGCAAAAGTAGAATCATAACTGGGTCCGCATCACATCGGATCTCTTCACTGAAGTTTTGAAAACCTGCCATGGCAGAGCTAAGTAACATAGGGTAGGCATCACACAATTTCCACTACCCATAGAGTGTACCAGGTCTGCCTACTCAGGACAAGGTTCATTTTCAGTTACAGTCTTCAGTTTGCAGAAGTTCCCTCGGATGAAGTGTCCTTCTCTTTATTGCATTGTTGGAACTAATTCAAATTATTTTACAAAGCAATAGAGGTCTCCCCCCCCCCCTTTGGTCCTTAGGCCTAGAAACTATGACTGTGGTTAAACTTTACATGAATTGAATTTAGCTTAGTGTGTGGGAAGAACCTATCCAGCTGTAGTGTGTCATGGTTAAACATGCCATGGTTTAGTCAATGTATCAGCATGGTTGAAGTCAGTGACTGTGAAGAGCAAGGATGCCTAAAATTTATTGGGAAGGGAGCGAAACCATGGACAGTTCTGTAGAGCAGCAGATGTGATTGCTCACAGCTCCAACAAGTCCTAGCTGCTGTTAACACTGGCGGTGAATTCAGGGGCTTCTGAGCCATCAGAGCTGGAAGGCACCAGGTTAGAGAGAGTTGACTTAGGCTAAACAGTGAGAGGAGGGAGTCCAGCCGAGACATCAGGAAGAAAGACAAAATGTTTACGGGATGGAATCTGCTGGAAGGGGATCCAGCTCTGAGGCACAGTTCTCAGTTCATGATCTTATCCCTGAGAATATTGCCCAGCCATGTTCTCAGAATCTAGTGGGAAGTCTGGTTCCACACTATGTCTTTTCTCTAGAAATAACTACTTTTGTTCCTTATCTAGGTAACACTATTCATCAACAATTTGCAGTCTACTATACCTGGTCTAAATTCACAATTATCATGTCACAAACTTGATTCTTCAGGCAATGCAATATACTGAATTGTAATTTTTTTTTTTTTTATTCATCCAATTTATCTCCCATCACAATCATAAATAAACTTTTGGCGGCTCACAAACAAGAACATAATCACAAATATTTCTTAAAAATACAATGCTTACCTACCTCCCCACCAAATAATACCTGGCTTTAACACCCAAACACCCTGCAGAAAGCTCACCTTTCAGCAGTTTCGAGATTATTAGAATAATGGTTGTCATAAACACATGGACTCATATAAGCCATGTACCCATGCACCATGGGATAAATATTCAGTTCTTAGAATTTGATCAAGAACTCGTAGCCAGAAGAGGCAGGCAACCTCAGCAGGTTATTACAATATATGGCATTATTTCATTCTACTTACTCAGCAACCTGTTTGACATACCTTTCAGGTAATTAAGTATCACCAAGTGAAAACCAACCATATGGGAAAATGCCTGCTATCCTATCTGTGATTCTTCCAGGGACATTCAAGTGATCTCCTGGATCCTGCCCACTCCCCTTATCCATTGATTGATTGAGTGATTGATTATGTGCCATCAAGTCATTTTCGACTCCTAGTAACCTCATAGATAGATTTTCTCCATAGCACTCTATCCCTAACCTCATCTTTCAGGTCTTCCAATGGTGCACTCATCACCACTATAACTGAGTCCATCCACCTTGCAGCTGCTTATCCTCTTCTTTTTCCTTCCACCTTTCCCAGCATTAGAGCTTTCTCCAGAGCTTTCTCCACATTCTTTGCATAATGTGTTTGAAGTAAGATAATTTGAGCCTGGTCATTTGTGCCTTGAATGAGAACTCTGGATTGAATAGTTTGATGATTCATTGATTTGTTTTCTTGACTGTCTACAGTATTCTCAGGAGTCTTCTCCAGCACAAAATTTCAAAAGCGTCAATACTCTTCCTACCCTGCTTCTTCAAAGTCTACCCCATATCCATGCCTTCCCTTTTTTCTATTTTCCTATAAAGCTGTGCATACTTTGAAAATGATTTGGAAAAAGGGCTTCGGACCTTATGTAAATGCAGCCTCTTTCTCCTACTTGTTAATGCAGCCAAATTTATTTTTTTCCATGTTTCTGCACTTAGCTGAAAACAGTGAAGACTTAGAAGACCTAATGAAGTGGTGTCATCCACATAGTCAAATTGTTTTGACCTCACAGTTTGAGTCCAGCTGTCATCTCTTCCAGTCCTGCCATTCTTAGAATACATTTGTAGTATATGTTAAATAAGTATTGGACTCCTGTCTCAGTTCTTGACTACTCTGTTTTTCCAAACAGTTTTTATTTAGCTTCTTCTTCACTGAAAAGGTCCTTAGACAAAAGTGTTCTGGCCCACCCACAATCCTTGATATGTTCCACATTCTGGCATGTTCCATGTAGTCAAAGGTCCTGCTGTAATCATAAAGCAAAGCTAAACTTTCTTGTATTATCTTGTTCTTTCCATTATACATCTTTATCTTCCTACCTATAGCATTTTCTATACTGCTTATTAAAAAAACTGAAGTGATGAGCTATCAAGTCTCATGTCCTTCTTCCTTTTATGAAACCCGCATGTTCATCTGGTACTTTTATTTCTTTTTACAGCTCTATTCTTTGACCTTAAATAACCCTTGTGTGCACAAAGAATTAGCACAGTGATTCGGTAATTTTCTCATTCTTTGGCAAGTCTCTTCTTTGGTATACATATACATTGATCTTTTCCAATCTCTGGCCACACACTCTATACCCTTCAGTATGGGGCAGAAAGAATATTACAGAAATATGGATGATGTAAGGCAGTGTTTTTCAAATATGGCAACTTTAAGAGCTGTGGACTTCAACTCCCAGAATTCCCCAGCCAGCATGCTTTCTGGGGAATTCTGGGAGTTGAAGTCCACAGCTCTTAAAGTTGCCAAGTTTAAAAAACACTGATGTAAGGAATATCAGCAAGGCTTCTCTAGCAATGATATGCAGTTTGGAGATCAAAATCAAAAACATTCTGCAAGACCTCAGATATGGCTTTTTCTATGTCCAACACAAGTGTGAGGCGAAAGTCCACAAAAGGCCAATTCAGAAGCTATTTGCTCCTTCCAAAAGGATGAGTATCTGGTGATGAGCTGGGTAAGAGACTGGCTTCCTAGATGTTAATTTCAGCTCTTGCTTAAATCACCAGAGCCTCATACAGCCTTTGTGGAGACCCAGCCAAGTTCTAGTCTACTTTTTTGTACCCATATTATTCTGATGCTTCCAAGAAGTAGAGGAAATAAAGGTCTAGATGTTTAAAGGCCTTAACCTGTTCAATTTGATTATCATTTATTTCCCAGTTATGGGAAGGGATGGTGTGGCCCTTGAAGAGTGTGACCACCTTTCATAATGGCTTGTTCTGAAAACATTTTAGAGCATTTTGCCTGTGAAATTTTGAAAACACATTTTTTCCATGTTAGTTTACACAATGTCTCTCAGCTCTTCCTTAGGTTCTCCTTCATGTAAGTGTACTGAATCTATTCCTTTCCTTGATCTTACTGGTACGCCTACTCTTTACTTTCCTAAGTTTAATCAGTTTGACTCCAATAATTTATAGTCTGTTCCACAGTCTGCACCTCAAATGTCCTAGCTGGCCAAGTTGATTGCATTTCTTCATTGTCTGTTTCCTATTAAGTTGATTCCAGTATTGTCCATCTGATGATGTCCATGTAAAAGCTGTGTTTATGTTGCTTCAAGCGGGTGTTAGAAATGAACAAAGAATTATCTTCACAAAATTCTGTTAACCAATCTCCTTCATTACTGCATTTACTGAATCCACATCTTCCTGTAATTCCAGGTTCCACCATTTCGACAACTTTTGCATTTTAATGACTCATTAGTAATGACTCATTAGTTGCCTTTAGCACCTCTTGCAATTTCCATAGAATTCTCATGTCTTTCACCATTGATTTTGCTTGTCAGAAGCCAGCTGGGAAGGTCACAAATGGTGATCACATGACCCTGGGATGCTGCAACCATTGTAAAGACTGAAGAAGCTGCTTGGACAAGCAGCAAAACGTATCAAACCAAAAGAAAAGAAGTCCA